CCATCCTGTCTCTTATACACATCTAGATGTGTATAAAAGACAGCTACAACACCATGGACCCGAAGAAAAAAAAAAAAAAAAAAAAAAAGAAGAAGAAGAAGAAGAAGAAAAAGGAAAGAAAAAGAGAAGGTCGCTTCAAGCGGGATACAAAACCAAGAAGAAAAAGGAAAGAAAAAGAGAAAAAGAAAGAAAAGAAACGAGGAACTATGAATCACGTAGGTGGAAGTTACGCCAGTGTATCTGGCCAGAATGTGAGGACCGTGAGACAAGTCGTTTTCTTTGTTTTCTTTCCGTTGTGAGGTCCTTCTAGCGCCCAGCCAGCCAGGCAGGGCGGATTCCACGCGAGGCAGTTAACTGCCTCGTTTCATTCAGCTCCAGACAAGTACTGTAGCATCCTGTGTCGGACCGCAATCACAGCATAAGGGATGTTTTTTATTTTTATTTTTTTTATTTATTTTTAATTATTATTATTTTTTTATATCTGCTGTTCGTGGATGGACGAGGGCCCTGACTGAACTGCTACCTAAAGGCAGCCCGAGTTTCAACTGCAATTGGATCTCCGGCCCTGACTAAACTGCTAAAACGCATTTTCAAATGCAATTACAAACTGCTTTCGTGACTGCGCTGTAGTTACCCCCCCCAAAAAAGAAAGAGATACCGGGGTCATTGCGTGGCTGCGGCTAAGAATACCCTGCATGAACATGAACAACTGGTAAGTTCAATATTGCTGAAGTTATCAATGGTACCCATTTGAACCATTAAAGCATGTTCCCTGATCAGTTAATCCCCTGGATTCCAGGGTAATCAATGCTAGCAGGGGGAGGTCCTCTTGACTTTTCTTGAAAAAGATCCTTGTTGAAGCGTAAATGTTCTTATGGGACGCTGGACCCTGTTTCCAGCACGTGCTGCTCCCCACAAATAGATTGAGCATTTGTCCCACAAAATAAAAATAAAAAATGAGAAGATCGTAGAACACAGCCTACGATCCACATCAGTCCTCCGAATACCTCAAAACTTGACGGTATCTAAGCAGATCCAACCAAAGCCCACCGGAACTATCTTATTCTCTGCTAGACTCCTCTAGGCCTTATACCCCCCACCTGTTAGGTTACAGAGCAACGCAACTCACCCCAGCTCTGTCCAGCGTCGTTCCAGCAGCAACCCCCAGCTGTCCCTTAGGATGTCGGCCCCACGACATCCCCAGATCTCTCTACGAGGTCCCCGCCAACAGCAGGTTACAGGGCAACATCCCATCTCTGGCCAGCGTCGTCTAGTGTCGGACAGCTATGGATCTTGAATATAGCAGCTTCAGTGCGACTTCAAAGAATCCTCTAGAAACCCCCAAAGGCATGAAGAATTCTTAGACCAGATAGAGATAACAAGAGTGTTCCTCTTGGAATAGAGAAATATGTTGAACCGAGGCCAAGTTACCCAAGAGCTGTCCGCTCAACCATCCGTAGCTGGCCTCAACCTTCGTGTCCTTGGACCAGGACTCTACTAGGCCTCACGCCCCTCCAAACTCAGTTAAAGGACGCCCTAGCTCTGGCCAGCATCGTCCTGCTGGTAGCTCACAGATGGCCACTGTAATTGCCTTCCACCTTCGACAATTCCAAAAATCTCTCTACCAGGCTTTTTTTTTCCCTTTCTTTTTTCTTACCAGCACACACACAGCCCCTTTCCGTTCTGGCTTTACCAGTCTGGTTGTTTTTCCCTGGGACGCCGAAATGTACAACATGAGCAGTTTGCAGAGCCCGAGAGATAAGGGGGAGGGTCTTTCACGAGATTGCTCTGGACAAGTTCCCCTTAGATCCGCTGGAGTGGGTCTGGAACCCTGACACATATGGCAATCGTAGACGTACAAGGCCCAAAACTCTTTCTAGCCTTTTCGTGAAAGTTGCTTACATAATGCCTAGGGTCAAACGGGGGCTGAGTGACGAAGTGATCACTAAATGGCAATGCCATCTTCTTCTTCT